CCCTGCTGTTTGAGTGTGGGCAAAATAAAAGGCCATAATATATGATGCAGTCAGCCAAGAAAGTAATACTGGTCTGCCATGTGCACGGTCTACACTGAGACGAGTCCAGGATGTCATTTCTAAATTCCCATAGGTGCCTCATTTAAACCATCAGCCATAACCTGCTTCTCATTTTCAATACCACTTGGTATTAGAGCTACAGTGAACTGCTGGTGAGAGATTCTAATTCCTGCAAACAAGCCCCTGTAGGCTTGCAAGGAAAACAGAGAGTTCCCCTCTCGACTGCCTGCTAGGTTCCCATCTGGCTGTTTTAAGTTTGCTATTGCTTTTAAATGTGCCTGTTTCTGCACACAAGGCTTTCAGCTCTACCTCAAGAGACTCCTGGGTTCTCTTAGCATCAAATTCTGACCAAAATGTAGAGCCACAGATTGGGTCTTCTTAATAAAAAGGAAGATCAGATTTCACATTACATTATCTGAAAGGTTAATTCCACTTACATGATCATTTCCCTGTGAACCACACTTCTTTCCATCTGGATTTTTCCATCAGGAGGACAAAGAGCCATAGTGTTAAGCACTACCTGGGAGAAAAGAACAAGGAGCGTAAAAGATGAGTGCAGAGATGCTTGCTGAGAGAAAAGAAAAACAGTAGACAGGAACTTCAAATGCATCAAGAGGCTGCTGTTTCTTTTTCCACATTAATTATATTTTGATCTCGTGCTTTGGTATTTTGAACCATTTAGTTTGTCAGGTTTTGATTTGGTGATTTTGGAAATGTAGGATATTTGGCTGCAGGAGCTTTCTGTATGATGTTACTGTTAGCTGGTGTTTGTGTTATTGTAGTAACCACAGGTCCAAAATTAGTGCCCTGCTGTGCCCAAGGCAATGAATAATCTCATGTAAGACCTTGTTATTGAAAGATGCCTGTCCCTATCCAAGCTATCATCATAACCACAAGCAGAGCTGTGCCAGCTAGGAAGGTGCTACCAACAGGGCCAGAGGAAAGATGACTTGGGGCCTAACTAATGCCCTGACACAGACTCCTCTTGGGACTTCTGTAATATAACCTACGGCCCAGTTCAGTCTTCAGGAAGCAAGGTAAGAACCACGGCAGAATGGTGAGAGGCTTTCTGCCTGCTACAGAAGTGAAACTTAGGGCTAGGCAAATAGGTGGCTACTTGGTTAGTTTGTGTTCATTTTTAGTTAAACAAAACATGTTTTTCTCAACCAGGAACAAGCCACTTTATCTTGTTTTAATATTTTAAAAGATTTTACACAATGCTGAAGTAAAATTCCAAAACAAAAGTAACTTTGAATAGAAAAATAGAAATGGTAATTTTTCTTAAACTATTTCAAACCTACAGTATTGGAGTGTTTGCTTTCTTCACGGAACTTTGCTGAGTTTTCTTTCACTGGAATCTGCAAATGCAACACAAATCTGTTAAATGCTTTAGCCAATTGAAGCCACCGGGGGGTGTGTGGTTGCTTCTTTTCTTTGCCAGAAAAATATTCAGTAGAAAACAGCAATTGTTTCCAGTGTAGGAAAAAAAAGCCTTGCAGACTGTAGTATTCAAGTGGTGGGTAATATCAGGGAGATACAAAGCTCAACTAGGATGTTGCAGATGAGGTCCTGGAATGACCCAGCTGCATGCAAACAAGGGCACGGACTCACCCACAGCCCTTCCTGGGTATCCCTGCCAACCCCACAGCCACCTGCAGCCTGCACCTCTGGCCTGGCTCTCGTGCCCATCAGGGAAATCCAAGCCCCTGTGACTCAGGCTTCACACCTCAGACCCATTTGGGGTGCAGTTTGGGAACTGATGTGTAATGACAGAACTGCTTTAAAGCTTGTGCTAGCTTGTATTCTCCCAGATAAGCCGGGAGGGTAATACATCTGGATTGCCCTTAAAACTCCTATCTAGTCTCAAATGCCTCCTATAGGTAGAAGGCTTTTTTTTTTTTTCTTTCTGTTGTTTTGTTTTTGACCAGAAAAAAAAAAAAAAAAAAGAAAAATGGAAAGAAACAATCTAATGAGATGGTCTTTAAGTACTTCCAGGCTACAGTTTAAAATGAAAGTAACCCTATCCAACTTGCATGGTCTAGTTCTCTGCAGAAAATATTACTGACCTTGTAAGACAGAATTATTTTTCCCCCCAGTTACAAGGGCTGCTGCCCTCCTGCAGTCACTGGCTATTTCCAACTACAGCAGCTTCTGGGAGCCACCCAGAGGGAGAAGCTTAGAGAAATGCAATCAGTGGCAGCGCTTTTGCTAGCTTTGCAGTATCTTACAGCAGAAGAGAAGGGGACACACACCTTCAGCAAAGTCCCTGTCCTTCAATTAAAAAATTCATATTACTTTCCTCATTAGTCCAATCATCTGGTATAGCTATTTCCAAGCTTACCCCAAAGGCCCTGCAGAGCAATTCAATTTCAAAGCCAGCGCAGTGCAGGACTGAGCGGTATGCCTGGGAGGAGCTATGGTTGGTGTTGACATGAGGAGCTCACTTGTCTGGCATTAGTCATGTGAAGCGAATGATGTTGACGCACTTTTTGGAAAGAGGATTGCTGAATGAAAGGGAGCTCTGTTGCAAAACACCTTCCTGGCTGCAAAGGCTGGAGTTGCCTGCTAAGTTTCACTGGCACCAAAACGACTCAGTTCTTGGAGAACCTCCTCAAAGTCAGGTCTTGAACAAAAGGCCTCACAATGTAATTCTCTCTGCTAATCATCCCTTTCTCTCTCTCTGCTTATCATCTCCATTACTGCAACTAGCTGACAGGCTGCAACAGAAGTTTAAAGCAGCGGGGGCTAGGAGAACTGCAAGTTTAGTATCCGTCTGCTTACCTCCACAACTTCAGCCTTTAAACATCTGCAGCAATTGAGAGTCATCCACATTCCTTAAAAATGAGCCTGTGGTCTTATGAATCTCCTGATGTAGAAGCTGTATTGTCTTTTTCTTGATTTCCTTTTGCTGCTTCAACTTAACGTTCTGTGTCGGTGAAAGTACAAACAGGTCATCATGACGGTGCCGGCAGTAGCTCTTGCGCACAGTGCATGACTTTTGCAAGGCAGTAAAATTTGTAGGGCAATGCACAATACCTTTTTCTGTGCTGTTCTTCATGCTAATCTCTGCTGGGATTGCACAACACACTCTCTTACCAAAGCTTATGGTGTTGTGTTATCTGCCCTGAAAAATTCGTAGGCTTTTATCCCTATAGTCCTTTATACTTCCCTGCCTTTTCCTTCATCATTAAAAGTAAAACCAGTCAGGTTTTTTCCATCTCTCCCATCATTTTTATTGTGTTTTTCATATTTTCCTTATTAAGTAGTTACCCTAGGGAGACTTCCTTTTTATTGGAACATACAAAAAGCTGTAAGTGCTCTTAACATTTGTGGGGAGGAGGAGGGAGAAGAGGGCAGAGGAAGCAAATTTAGGCTGAGGTCACAGAAATATATATGGTGTGTTCAGTAATATGCCTTGCATCATCTCTACTTCTGTTTCCGTAAGCAACAAGATATTTTCCCTTGCTCTCTGCCTATTCCCCAAATAAGCATATGCTGTTAAAAATAAGGTACCCGGATGTTTGGAGCAACATCCATCTGGTGGCTGCTGCTGCCGGGCAGGGGTGAGACTAGATGACTTCCAAAGGTCCCATCTGCACTTGTTTTCTAGAATTGCTGAGAAAATAAAGCCAAACTCTAGATGCAGGCATTCAGGTGTTACAGTGAAAGCTGATGCCATGTCAGAATAAACACTGGCCACCCCGCTTTGAGAAGAGTTCTAATATGGCCTTAATACCAACAAGCAACCAACCAAAGTTTGTCAGTATTCTCTGTGAGTGAGAACAGCAATTCAGGATAACGAAAAATGCTCCTAAAGTCTCAGAGAAGGGACTGCTTGGATATCTTTAAACTCTTACTCTTGACTGAAGCTCTGTTTCAGGCTGGACAGACTAGCTTGAGCTTCCTGGGTCTAAACCAATAAATAACATTGCAAGAGGGATACCCATATTCTACTGCACGATCTGTATGGGACCAAAGCAGTCCTAGATGGGATTCTCAACAGGGCAACAAAGCCAGAACTTTCAGGTCTATAATTTCCCAGAATTGTGATGCTCTTTTTTCTCACATCCTAGGTAAGGACCATACCCCTTAGATGAGAGAAACAGCCTCTCTCTGGAGGCAAATAGCTATCACATTATTTATACAAAGTGGAACAGCTCCCAGAGAAGAGACTGAGACAGACAGATGCAAGTATACCAGTATAGCTGAGTGTTCAGGGGTATTCACCTGAGAGACAGAAAAAACTAGTTCAAGTTCTGTCCATTTATATATGTGCAGACACATATATAGATATGCATATATGCATGTGAAAATCCATTTATATGTAAACGTGTATGTGTATATACATGTGTTAAATACACCCCATAAATGAAAGAAAACTGTATGCACATATATTTTATATACGTATACATATACACTATATGAATATATGTCTTACATACACATTATAGTATTTCCACCTTGGCCCTAGGAGCTTTGTAAGTATAAGTCAGTCCAATGACTCCTTCTTTCAAAAACTTCCATTTTTAACCAGAATCAAGTGTGCACAAATGCTTCAGTAACTCTCCAACATGAAGTACTGGAACTTTCCTGCACACACTCATCAGCACTATAGTGACAGAAATAATACCTGCACCTACGAGGTTCAGCCAGTGCTGCATTTTGGTGGCACAGGATGTTCTTTTTCAACAGCATTACTTATCAAGACATTAAATGGTATTGTCTGATGCTGCTGCTTTCTCAGGGGATGAATTACATGCCTGTAGAGTCCTACCACAGAGTCAGGCCTGCTCTCCGGATGCTTTTAGCAACACCTGCAGGCCCTGCTGCACACACTAGTTAGAATAACGTAATGCTATTTTGAGGGTAATGGGCAGGACTACTTTCTAGGGAATATTATTTCTGTATGAAAATCTCCTCTTAATTCCTTTCAGAAAAGCTGTCTCTGATAGAGCCCAAGTGCGTGCAAGAGAGCAGCCAGATGCTTCACACCAGAGACTCTTCACCTCCAACAGGCAGTGCGGGGAGCACTTCCTATGAAACACCAGAGCTATCAGACCTCCAGAGGCTCTTTTGGTTTAGAGGAGGGTCTGATAATCATGTGGACCAAGTCTGGCCAAATATTTACCTAGGAGATGCGTAAGAACTTGTGGTCCTATTGTTAAACTATTTTGGGTCCCTGGGAGGGGGAGGAAGGGGTGTGATGCACTGGGGAGCAGCTTCTGGGTCTGCAGGAATGTTTTTGCTATTCAGGCTTCCAAAACTGGTAACTTAAGGAGTTTGGATGTCATGAAAAACGTGACATACAAAATGGTGACATACTAACTGCGTGTCAGAGTTGGGTTTTCTATATTCTGTGTACAGCAGGGCATTTGGCAGGGTAAGAATTATTTGTACTCTAGACAAAAGTCCTTAAAGAACCCATCTCAAATTGGTGTAAATGCACTGAAATGCGCTATCTGCCCTGGAAACTGTGCTCTAAGACAGCAGATAAGCATAGTTGCCCTCACATTCCAATAGGAGTAGCAGGATCAAGAGTCAAATGGAGGAGGACCTAAAGGAATTATACAATAGGGATTTTGCCAGTCAAAATACAAACTTTCTTTCAAAGATGGTACAACTGAAAATATCAAACAGAAGTTTTCATGCAAATACCTCATTCTTGTGACAACTTCCTTTCATTGCCATTTCTTTCTATTTGGATTGCTGCAGATTACATAGATCATCAGCACATTTTTCCCAACTCCTCTTTCGCATGAATTCACTAGTTAAGGATCACAGTTTTGTGGAATAACTTCAGTCCCAGTTTATGTTGGGCAGGCGGGAGAACCTGGCTGGTAAACATGATGTGAAGCAGCCACTTCATTTCTGAACCAGGAATGAGATGCTGCTGCATCTGTTCTCACCCTTGTGACCCATGCACACTATGAATGAGAGATTAGCTCTAGAACTTGCTAAGACAACTGTTTGAAGGAAAATCTTGACCGCTTTACACAGTAAGCCATATTCGCAGGCATTAACTGCTGGGAGGCATTTTCTTAACTAACAGTATCCCACTGGCAAGTCTGTGCTCTTGCTGCTCTCCACAACACCATACCACATTTTTCAAGTGTGAAGCACTATGGGCTTCTCAAGATTTGCTACTCTGTAAGCAAGCGCAGTTCCTGCATCCTTCTCTAGTGGGAGCAGGCACTAACTTTAAACCGTGCTATTTTAGCAGGATGTTAGGAGTGTTGCCAATGAGCTCTTCACGTCTTTAAACAGGTGGGCTGCTAGGAGCAAAACTACTCTTCAAAGCCTCAACATTACTCATATCCTTAATGCAGCAGATGGGCCATATAACATCAACACAGGAGCCAAATATTATGAAGATCTGCAAATAGAGTACTATGGAATAGAAGCATTTGATGATCCTTCCTTTAATTTAAGTGTCTTCTTCTACGATGCTGCCAATTTCATCGGCAAAGCCTTAAACACCTCAGGAGGTAAGAGGGAGGCAGAGAAGCTTTGGGAGGAAGTTTCAACATGAGCCAAATGGCATCTCCTTGCAGTAACAGGCAGCCAGCAAAGCTCAGATTCACCCTGTAGTTCAATAAGACACAAGCAGAACTGCCATGTGGAGGGTGGGAGAAGGGCACCTGTGCCACGCACTGCAGGGAAGGTGGCCATGGCCAGGCACCTGGGGGAGCTGGGGAAGGCTGGCTGCCCCAAGCCCAGCCTGGTGGGAGAAAGCAAGATGGAAGGGCAGAGGTTATGGCACTGTGGTGCTCCCCCAGGAGCCCTATTCCTGCAGGAACTGGCAGGATCTGTGTGCCTCCACATGCACCTCGCACCCTGGCAGGATGCTTCAGCCCAGTGATCCTGCCCTACATACCCCGCAGCGCTGCTCCTGCTGCATTCAACTGGGAGCAGCAGCACTTCAGCGCTGGCTTAAATGCTTCACATGCTTAAGTGCTTCACAGAATTGGAGCTTTATTCAGACTGCCTATTAAGCTAGAGAAGCAGCAGAAGTTAATGAACTAAGTCAAAAACTACAAGCCTGACCCACAGCCTGCTGAATTTTTGTCAGCAGAGTTTGGATTATGGCTTAGTTATCATAATTTCCATTTGTTCCAGAGTTTGTTCTGACTCTGGCTGTGAGATCTGCTGCTTTTACTAGAGTGCTTTATTAAATCCCCAGTTATAGCTCACACTGGGCTGCTGAGATACAGTAAATTATGAGTCCATTTTTACAGGCAGACTATCTTACAGAGTTTATGGGACTTGTCAGTGATCACAGTCAGGGCTGGGCCAAAATTTTCTGCCAAAACTGTTGGGTTTTTTCTTTTCCCACAGAAAACTATACTGAAAAGTTTAGACACAGAAAGCTTCTCCTTCCACAGAAAATTGTAGCTATTTTAATCTGAGGCTTAAATTAGATGCATGAGGTCACTGTGAATTGCCTAAAATGTATGGCATGATCTTATGCTAATCCTCCCTGTGTATCCGCTAATTGTCACTGTTGTTTGCCGGACTTGTTTCTAGTGTTTTTTGTTCTCGATTTAGAAATGTTAAAGGCCACTCACCTGCTGTGCCTCTTTTTTTTTGGCAGGTAAGGTGTTTGTTCATTGTGCCATGGGGGTGAGCCGCTCAGCATCTTTAGTCCTTGCCTTCTTAATGATCCATGAAAACATGACAATTGTGGATGCTCTGAAAACAGTGAGTGCTCACAGAGACATCTGCCCAAATTCAGGGTTCCTCAGCCAGCTCCGGGACTTGGACATTAAACTAAATGAAGAGAGAAACGGAACCAGAGCATCTGCTACCAAAGAGCTGTAAGAGAGCATTACTGAGAGAACAAATGTTACTTGTTTCCTGTATCTCTTTTTAATGAATTGCATTTGTAAACTGAGAATGAAAGTTTATCATACACCAGAATGCATGTTATTACTGAAAGTAGATTTTACTCGATGTGTCCATTTTGCAAAGCCTTCCAGGATTATACTTACAGTCGGTTGTGTGTTGCATCTTCCACTCTCCACCTTAAAACGTTGTTCCCTGCTGGTAAAAAAAAAAAAAAAAAAAAAAAAAAAAAAAAAAAAAAAAAAAAAAAAAAAAGAAAAAAAAAAAGGAGAAGAAGATATCAGGTTCCACTTCAGAAATAGCTGTGTTTCAGCAACTAGTAAAGCTCATATCACTTTATGAAGTGTTAGGCTATTTGAGGTGAAAGATATCATATTATTTATGCTATGGTAATTCTTAGAAATTTTCTTCTGAATGAGGCCCCCACCCCTCTTTGCTCCCCATATCTAAAATGGTTGGTATTTTGAGACTTGAATCTGGTACTGGTTAGTTCTTGCTTTTACAATTGGTGGAGCCCCCAAGTTAGTGGCTGGTTTAATGAAAAAAAAAAAAAGCCACTCTAAGAAATTATTCTAGGTCTCTCTATAGTCTTTTTCCTTTGACTGTTCATCAGTTTGGGTTTGGGGTTTCTTTTTTTCTCTTCCACAAAAATGCCTTTGTTTGAGAAGCCATTCAAATATCATTAACCTTTCCTGGTAAAAATCATCCAGAAGATGTCGTGGAAAATGCTTCCAAAGATGAGGAAGGTGGGTTCCCAGCTGAGGCTCCAAACAGCTGCATGAGCAGTGGGAGCGGGTGCAGGAGAGCATCTGACAACAAATTTGAACGTAGCCCAAATTTGTCTGGCAGTTGAACATTATAAAACTTGGGATTTTCTTTCCCCGAAATAAAGGTCATTAACATTGCAACATCGTGTTCGGTGGCATTTACTTTTGTGAGGGGACTCAAGTGAAAACTGAAGGGACAGAAATGGCAAGGGAGGTGCTGACAGGCATCAGGCTTTCATCTTTGTGTCTCTGGGCCACCATAAAAGCACTCAATAGCTACTGTCATCTGATGGATCAGTGCTGCCTGGAAACTATGTGAAGAACATCTGGCTCTTGGTTCCCAGTGGGCAAACACTCACAGCACAAAACCAGCTGAGGGATGGCAGTTGTTTGCATTCCTAGTACCAAATTCAGGAATGCAGAGGCATGAATACTCCCTACCATGTGAGCTGGCTCATCAAGAAGAGCACAGCAAGGGAAAACGTTCTTTGCCACTCCCAGTGCTGTCTACAAGGCAGATTTCTGCCTTCAGGACAGACAACTCAGCACCTTTTATAGTGCTTTTTGGCAATATCTACATCTGCCGTATGCGCCAGGCTATAGGAGTGGGGGTACAAAGCAGAGCATGTGGCACTGAGGACCTGGCCCTCATACCAGTGGGGCATCTCAGGAGATTTTGCTTTGGACCAACCCTATGGACTAGACATCCCTGAGAAACGGGACAGCAGTACTGGAGCACTTCTTTGCTTTAGTTCCCTGTGTAAGGAAGCCTGTTCACAAGCTCCTAGGGCTGCTCTGCAAGGCCAACAAAACCATAGCAAGTAGGAATGGTCAGCTTAATGGTACGCTTCAGACCCAAATCAAAACTTACCATGCATGTCTTAGCTACCAATTAATTCTAACAAACTGATTTCAACTTATGGAACAAGTTGGGAAAAAAACCCAACTAATTAAAAAGAAAACGAGTGAATGTGGCTATAAATCTGCCCCAGCCCTGAACACAAGAACCCTATTTCCTTGTGCTTCTCACTATGGGAAAGCTCCCCTCGCCATTAGCAGCAGCAGAACTGAGGTCCACTAGCTATTTTCAGCTGCAGGGCGAATGGCACTGCTGAAGATGCACTCGCTGCGGGTACAAGAGTACCTACAAATTAAACACATTTCACACGATAAAAACGCGGGTTTAAAACACAGGTTGGTGGAAAACCTGCATCTTACTCCCACGATAAATCACTGTGAACGCTGCAGAATAATACACAGAGGGTAATGCCCCAAGCTGCGAGGTGATAGACACGGTTCCCCCCTGAAGCCCCGGCGCGGGCCCGCAGCCCCCCCCACCGCC